TCTAGAGTCTCGTTTCGCGTCTAAGTTCTTTATCGCGACGCTGAGAAGCGTCTGGCGCCCAATTATCAAATAAAATAAAGCAATATCGAACGGATTCGGATCAGTCGCCGAAGTGCTACGCGCTCGCGAGTCCGCGGAGGCGCCGCAATGGTCAACGTCGCGGGCAAGGCCAGGTTGGGCCGTTCGAGAATTTGTGAGCGAAGCGGGGTCGCGAGCAATTACCGAGCTAACCGCGAAATACCGTGTAGCACCGTGGACCGTAGTGTGCGTTCGAAATGTCGATGTTCATGTGTCCTGCAGTTCACACGTTGACGCGCAATTAGCTGCGTTCTTCACGAGTCAAGTGATCCACCGTTCAGGGTAATCGTATAAAAATTTTCGTTCAAATTTAGCAACTCAGCGTCTGAAAAGCAGTATGTATGTGATTTAACCTGTGTTAGGAATCGCTATTATCGACCACATAGCACCAATCGGCCGTCGTGGCGCTATGTAGATCGCGAAACCCCCTCTCCTTATAGGTTCTAGCTATAAAGCGAGTCGCGAGAACAGAATTGTACTATCTTTTGCAGGTATAAAATCGCTAAAATAATGTAAAAAATTGTAAAAATAATGATATTTTTAATAAAAATGATGATTGCCCCTCTTCACAGGAGGTGATGTTAAATTATATATCTAATAAACATTGCAACAAACAACAAATTCCAAAAACACGTATCCTCTATTTTTGTCCATAGTTTACGTACACGAAGTTGCAAAAAAATAGATCAACATTTAGTGCAAAAATTTAAACAAAAATGATAAATTTTTTAAATATTATTTAAACAAATAAAGTTTCTTGAAATTTTTTTTCGCACAAAAATTTCCTATCCAAAGACGAACAATTTACCAAAAAAAGAATTCAATTATCTTCTTTAGTTCCGGAGATGTTCCCAAAAATATGGTTTCAACCCCCAACTTCGAGGGCTATTTTCACCCCTTCAATATGCACGATTGCCGATAAAAAAAAATACGTGTCAAATATTTTTTTGAGAACTATATCTCACGTAAGTTTCATCAAAATCGGCGTGTGTCGGTTGGATATGTTCCCTTGTAAGTCGCGTTCGGTTCTGGAAAGCTTCGAGATCTCCTACGAATATCTTTTCATGCACTCGGAGAGGGTCGTAAATTTTCGCCCAGTACAAGGACTTTGTTTTCGCGTT